GCAGGCGTATTTGGCCAGCCCGCGGGTCAGCCGGGGAATTGGAGTTGGTTTACCTTTGTGAGCAGTTGATGGGCACATTTATGCCATCTCCAGCGAAACAGGGAAGCCCTGGGTCGGTTGGGAGAGGGCCGTCAGAAACGATCCTTCGCAGGAACCTCATCCCATAATTGCCAGCCCCGTGCTTGCGGAGGTCATCCGCAGCGATACCGGCCCTGCTACCATTTTGTTGGTCGCATCCGAGGACGGCAATCTTTACGCCTTCGATGCGGCCAGGGGCGAAGAGTTGCCCTGGTCGCCCTTCCGTACCGAGGGAAGGATATGGTCTACTCCTTCGGTCCAAAACAACATCGCCTACTTTGGTTCCCAGGATCACACCGTATATGCAGTGGATCTAAGGGACGGCGACGAACTCTGGCGCTACCAGACCGGCGGGGCCGTAGTCGGCAACCCTCTCCTTTTTCAGGGGAAAGTAATAGTGGGGTCCTTCGACAAGAAATTATATGCGTTGGACGCGGACGACGGAGAACTGGAATGGGCCTTCGAGAGTGGCAACTGGTTCTGGGCAGGTCCAGTTACCGACGGAGAAACAATTTTTGCCCCTTCGATGGACGGATATGTATATGCGCTGGACGGATCTGTTCCGCCTTCCGGTGAACCCAAGGTGGCCCTATGGCGACACAACATGGAAGGGCCCCTTGCTTCCAAGGCCGCCCTGGTCCCCTTGGGCCTAGTTACGGCCTCAGTGGATGGCAGAATGCGCCTCCTGAGTACCAGCCCATCAAACCTGATTGACGGGGAAGTGATCAGTAACCTGCCCAGCCTCGAAAAGGGTGAGATTAAGTCACCCTTAGTTGTTGGATCGCCTCCGGCGGTATCTGTCGGTGAGGAAACACCAGGCCTGTCGGTTATACAGCGGCATTCAGTCTTTGTAGGCGGCGATGAAGGTACAGTACGCAGGATATCGGTTACGGAGGGCCAGGACAAAGAGTCAATTTGGTGTTTCGATAGCTCGATTCAGAGGCAATGCAACTAGCGCTTAGGACAGGCAACCGCCGGACTACGGCGTTGCGTTTTTAGGAGTCCCCTTGGAGTTTTTCTTCCTCCTTTGGAATGAAATTATAATCCGCCCCATGCTCAACACCCTTATGGTGTTGTATGTAGTCTGCTTTAACAACATGGGGATCGCAATTATAGTTTTCACCATTCTGGTACGCTTGATTACTCTGCCCCTGACCCTTAAGCAAATTCGCCAGATGCGGCGAATGAGCCAGCTGCAACCCCGCATGAAGGAAATTCAGGACCGTTACAGCGGCGACCGGGCTCGGGTTTCTCAAGAGACCATGAAATTGTATCGCGAGTCCGGGGTAAGCCCGGTGGGGTGCCTGGGCCCGCTAATCGTTCAACTACCCATCCTCATAGGCCTTTTTCGAGTCCTCATTCAGACTTTGTTTACCAAACCCGAAGACTTGGTAGGATTGTCTCAGAAGCTATATTCCTGGATCACTTTCGTACCAATCCACTCTGCCGCCCCTCTGAACGACACTTTTCTGTGGTTAAGCCTGGGAGAACCGGACCCTTCTCCCATAGTATTGCCCATCCTGGTGGCTGCTTCCACCTGGGTGCAGCAAAAGATGACGATGACCCCCTCTCCGGATCCCCGCCAGCAGTCCAGTCAAACCATGATGCTTTGGATGATTCCCATTTTCCTGGGATTCTTTTCGCTCCAATGGCCTAGCGGACTGCCCCTGTACTGGATTGTTTCCAATATAATCGGTGTAGGAATCCAATACTTCATTACCGGCTGGGGGCCGTTGTTCCCATTGATTCCCAGGTCGGCACAAGCGTCAAGCCAACCGGCCAAGTCCGCCGAGAAAGATCCGGCGTCCGAGGAGATAGAAGACGATGGAGCCAGTAGAACGAACCGCCAGAACCGTAGAAGAGGCCGAAGAGCTGGCGCTGAAGGAACTAGGCGTCGACCGCAGCGAGGTCGAGGTAGAAATACTAAGTAGGGGCAAAGCCGGTTTCCTGGGCATTGGCGCAGAGGTAGCCAGAGTCCGTGTCACCAGACTGGGATCTGCCCCGGGCGGGAGCAGCGCCCCCGCTGTTGAGTCCGTAGAGACTCCACCAGAGGCGGACCAGGCAGCACCTCCCGAGGAAGAATCCGGCGAATCAATGCCCGCCGTTGGCGCGGAGGAAGGTACGGTCACGGGCCTGGCTATGGTAGCTCTGAACAACATCCTTGCCACCTCCGGGGTAAACGTAACTTGTTCGGTGCGTACTACAGAAGACCCCGACGTGGGAGGTCCGATCATTGACGTTACCGGGGACGACTCTGGCTTGTTGATCGGCCGCAGGGGACAGACCCTTCAATCTCTCCAGTTTCTAGTGAACTTGATTGTCCGCAAGGAATTTGGAGAAGGTGTTAGGGTTGTTCTCGACGTTGAAAGGTACCGGCAACGACGCGAAGCTTCTCTCAAAGATATGGCCAATAAAGTGGCAGAAAGGGTGAGCCAAACCGGGCGAAGCATCACCCTGGAACCTATGTCGGCTGCTGACCGACGAATAATCCACATTTCACTAGCCGAACGCGAGGGTATAAGCACTGAAAGTGCGGGCTTAGGGGATGACCGCAAGGTTACGATAATACCGAATCAGTGAATCCTCCGGGCTTCACCTGAGTAAGGCACCATGCCATTTGCCGTGCCGCCACATTCCTGGTCAAGGAGAGTACGAATATTGTGCTAGAGCGAGGAATTCAGCCTAGATTCGTTGACCGAAACTGTTAAGGGAACGTAGAATACTTACGTGGGTATTGAGGACGTGAATCACGAACTCCGCTTCCCCTTTGACCATCCTCGTGAAGAGTGTGGTGTTGTAGGTGTATACAGTCCGGGAACAGAGGCCAGCCGGGTAGCCTTCTTTGGCCTGTTCGCTCTGCAGCACCGTGGCCAGGAGAGCGCCGGTATAGCCGCCGCAGACGGGCATCAGCTAAATGTCCACACGGACATGGGCCTGGTCACCCAAATTTTTCGCGAACGCGACTTCCTTCCTCTTTCCGGTGAATTTGCAATTGGCCACACCAGGTATTCCACTACAGGCACCAGCCAGCTCTGTAACGCCCAACCTTTAGTTGTAGAAGGCTTGGCCGGCAAGTTGGCTTTGGCTCATAACGGCAATATCATTAACGCCTCCCAGTTGAAAGTCCAACTTAAGGAGCAGTGGGGTTGCCGCTTCAACTCCACCACCGACTCGGAAGTCATCGCCCATCAGCTAGTCAATGCCCCAGGAAATAGCTGGGAAGAGCGCATGTTCCATTGCATGCGTACACTGGAAGGCGCTTTTTCGCTGGTGGCCATGACCGAGGATACCGTTTTGGCAGCTCGAGACCCCCTTGGTATCCGTCCGCTTTGCATCGGCAAAATGGGTGAAGGCTGGATAATTGCGTCGGAGAGTTGCGCCCTGGACCACCTGGGGGCCAAGTACTTGCGAGACGTCAGCCCTGGTGAAGTCATCGTGCTGGACCGGGACGGTATGCGCTCGGCCGTAAGGAAGGAATCGACTAAGTCGCGGGCCATGTGCATCTTTGAGCACATTTACTTTGCAAGGCCTGACAGTGTGCTTGATGGCACTCTGGTTTACTCGGCCCGCCAGGAAATGGGAGCTCAACTGGCCAGGGAACATCCGGTGGACGCCGACCTTGTCATTGGAATCCCAGATTCCTCCACCGCAGCGGCGGTAGGGTACGCCCGAGAATCCGGAATACCTTACAGTGACGGCCTGATCAAAAACCGCTATGTGGGCCGTACTTTCATAGAACCGGAGCAACGCCTTCGGGATCTTGGAGTGCGTCAGAAGTTCAATCCGCTTACGGAAGTAATCAAGGGCCAACGACTGGTGGTAGTGGACGACAGCATTGTGCGGGGCACAACCACACCTCACGTGATAAGGGTCCTGCGCCGCGCGGGCGCGAAAGAGATCCACATTCGGGTATGCGCTCCGCCCATCAAGTTTCCCTGTTACATGGGCGTCGACATGGCCGACCAATCGGAGTTGATTGCGGCCAATAAAACCGTCGAAGAGATTCGGGCTATGGCCAACGCCGACTCCCTCGGCTTTCTGAGCATCGAAGGACTGCTCAGGGTGTCCAAAGGCGAACAGGGAGGTTTCTGCGACGCCTGCTTTACCGGCAACTATCCTGTGCCTGTTCAATTGCAATTGGGAAAGCTGGTTCTGGAATCTGAAACCTGACCACTATGTCGGTTATGCATATTGCCCCTTTAGAACATTCTTATTTGCAGGTCGGTGCCAGTACCGTACGCCGACACAATAACGGAGAGACCAAACATTGACTGGCGAAACCTATCAGGCATCCGGGGTTCAGCTGGATGCCATGGAAGACCTCAAAGACCGAATTAAGGCCTTTGCCTCAATGACGCATGGGCCGGAAGTAATGGGTTCCGGGGGCGGTTTTGCCGGGATGTTCGAACTCTCCGGATACAGGGCCCCGGTATTGGTAGCCAGCGCCGACGGCGTGGGTACCAAGCTGAAAATTGCCGCTCAACTGGGACACTTCGAGTCCATCGGCCAGGACTTGGTCACCCTAAATGTTAACGACATTTTGACTAAAGGCGCCAAGCCAATCTTCTTTCTTGACTACGTCTCTTTCAGCACACTTGACCAGCATCGCATGGAAACCTTGCTTCGAGGCATTACCTGGGGCTGCCGAGAGGTCGGCTGTGCCCTGATCGGCGGGGAAACGGCCCAGATGCCCGGACTCTACTCTGATGAAGACTTTGACCTGGCTGGATTCCTGGTAGGCGTGGCGGAAAAGGACGGAATATTGGATAGCAGCACCATAGTTCCGGGCGACTGCCTGGTGGGAATACCTTCCAGCGGGCTTCATACCAATGGCTTTTCACTGGTACGGCATGTCTTCAACAGTGACGAAGACCCCTCGGTGCTATTCCGGCAATTCGGAGACCTTAACCGTCGCCTGGGCGAAGAATTGCTCACGAGGCATCGTTGCTACTATCCGGAGCTTCAACCGGCCCTGGGGTCAATGAAAGGACTGGCACACATCACTGGGGGAGGGTTACCCGGCAAGGTGCCCTCGATTCTGCCAAACAATGTAGCCGCCAAGTTCCAAAGAGGGTCCTGGACAGTCCCTCCCATATTTTCCTTGATCCAGTCGGAGGGCCAGATCTCAGAGGATGAAATGCTTCGAGTCTTCAATATGGGCCTCGGAATGGTGGCAGTTTGCCGGGAAGACGAGGTGGACAAGATAAGGGAAACGTCCCCGGACGCAGTTGTGGTGGGCCAAGTAGTGGCGCGCAACGGCCACGAACAGGTTTCGTTCAGCAATTAAAAGTCCCCTTAAGTTTCATTCGTACCACAGAATAGTCATGCCACAGCAGGCTACCAAAGGAATGGCTCGGTGAAAGCATTAGTTAGCGTTTTTGACAAGACCGGAATAGTTGAATTTGGTCAGAAATTGGTTGAGTCAGGGTTCGAACTTATCAGTACCGGAGGTACCCACCGCACTTTATCTGAAGAGGGCGGATTGCCGGTGCAGCAGGTGTCAGACGTCACCGGATCGCCAGAGATCCTGGACGGGCGGGTAAAGACCTTGCACCCGGTCATTCACGGTGGCATTCTGGCGCGCCGCGACTTGCCAGCCCATATCAGTGAATTAGAGACGTACGGCATTGGCACTATTGACCTGGTGGTTGGAAATCTTTATCCCTTTGCCGAAACCATAAGCAATCCCGCCGTTACGATGGACGATGCCCTGGAGAACATCGACATCGGCGGGCCCACCATGCTAAGGGCCGCAGCCAAGAACTTCCCATCGGTAGCTGTGGTGGTTGATCCGGATGATTATGGGTGGGTGGCCGACCGGCTAGCCGGTGAGGGTCTTACCGAAGGTGAACGAAGAGGGCTGGCGGCGAAAGCCTTCCAACACGTGGCCCGGTACGACTTTACGGTAGCCGGTTACCTGACGGAGGAATCGTCGGCAACAGAGTCCTTGCCCGAGAATCTCGACCTGACGTTCAGACAGGTGGCAACTCTCCGCTATGGAGAGAATCCCCATCAACAGGGCGCCCTGTATGTACCGACAGCCGGCCAAAGTGGTGGCATTGCCGGAGCACAACAGTTGCACGGACGGGAACTGTCCTACAACAACCTGATGGATGCAGACGCCGCGTGGAGAACGGTTAACGACTTCGCTGAGCCGGCCGCCGCAGTCATCAAACATGCCAACGCCTGCGGGCTTTCCAGTCACGAAGACCTGGCCCAGGCATACCTTCAGGCCTACGATGGAGACACTGTTTCGGCCTTTGGCGGCATCGTGGGTTTCAACCGTACGGTCACCGCCGCCGCCGCCGAAGCAATGCATCCCGTGTTCTATGAAGTAGTGGTGGCCCCGGGCTACGAGCCTGCAGCATTAGAAATCCTGCAAAGAAAACGAAACCTGCGCGTACTGGCAGTTAATTCTGGCGGGGCGGAACTGGGGGGCATTTCGCTGGACATTCGCCCCATCACTGGTGGAGTCTTGATACAAACTCCAGACTCAATCGCAGAAAGTCCGGCCAATTGGAAGACAGCCACCGAGAAGGTTCCTACCGAGACAGAGATGGATGACCTGGCCTTTGCGTGGATTGCCTGCAAACACATTAAGTCCAACGCCATCGTCTTCGCCAGGAACCGTACATTGATGGGTATGGGAGCCGGGCAGCCCAATCGGGTAGTCAGCGTCCACTTGTCCCAGCGCATAGCCGGCGAAAAGGCCCAGGGCTGCGTCCTTGCTTCTGACGCCTTTTTCCCATTTCCGGACAACATTGAACTTGCAGCAGAAGCGGGGGTAACCGCTATCATCCAGCCGGGCGGCTCAATTAGGGATGACGAAGTCATTGAAGCTGCCAACAACCACGGCATTGCCATGGTCTTTACCGGTGTCCGCCACTTCCGCCACTGATGCTTAGTCGTTCTCTTCCCTCGACAGTTCGGCTCGACGCTCTAAGACTCTTGGTAGATTATGTCATATCCCCGGTACGGAAAGGCTATATGCTTCCCGTACCGATTGCAGCTTGCCTCAAGAGCTTTCCCTGATGGCTGCCTCCGTTGACTTAGTAATACCGGTTTACAATGAGGAAGCGGCCCTGCCCGACAGCATCGCGCGCCTAACTCAATTCCTCCGGGAAAACCTGGTAAACCCCTGGCAAGTTACTATTGCGGACAACGCCTCCATTGATGGAACCCGGCCTGTATCAGAGGAACTGGCGGAGCAATACCCGAATGTCTCCTATTTCTACTTGCCCCAAAAAGGACGGGGAAGGGCCCTGAGAGCCACTTGGCTGGCCAGCGACGCCGATATAGTCAGCTACATGGATGTGGACCTGTCTACTGACTTAACCCACTTTCCCCAGTTGGTCGAAGCCCTTGAATCCGGCTACCACTTGGCCACAGGCAGCAGATTGAGCCGGGAATCCACGGTCACCAGGGGCTTCAAACGGGAGTTTATATCCCGCAGCTACAATCTTCTAATCAAGTCCTTGTTTTTCACACCTTTTCCCGACGCCCAGTGCGGCTTTAAAGCCTCGACCCGCCAGGCCGCCCAGTCGATCATTCCTGCTATCGAAAACAACAACTGGTTCTTTGACACCGAGTTGCTGATAATCGCAGCCAAGCGGGGCTACCGCATAAAGTCCATACCGGTGAAATGGGACGACGACCCAACCAGTACAGTTAATATCACGAACACGGCCCTTGAGGACATTAACGGGTTGCTCAGGCTGCGCTTCGGCGGCATTCCTCGGGTATCGGGTCCCTAGAGCCATCTAAAGGCAGGAAATCTTTTGCTTGGAGTGCTATCAAAATGGCCTTAGAAGCGGCTTGGCTCTTTGGACTCCAAAACTGTAAAGGAGTTAGACCATGGAATTGGGACTCAAAGCTAAAAACGTAATTGTGACTGGCGGCGGCTCTAATATCGGCCGCGCCATTGTCCACGCATTTGCCGCCGAGGGCGCCAATATTACCATTGCCGAGCTGGCGCCGGACCAGGGTGAACTGGTGGCCTCGGAAGTGGCGAAGATGAATATGGGAAGCCGGGTCAAGGTAATACAAACGGATGTAACCGACCGGGCCCAAGTCGAGGAAATGGTGGATCAATCCATAGCAGAGTTCGGCAGAGTGGACATTCTCGTGAATAACGTAGGCTGGACCATAGACCGCCTCTTCATGGAGAAACCTCGCGAGGAACATGAGAAGGAAGTGGCGGTTAATCTGTGGAGCCCCATAAACTGCATCCATGCGGTGTTGCCTCACATGATAGAGCAGCAGGCAGGTTCTATCGTAAGCATCAGCTCAGATGCGGGGCGAATGGGCGAGTACCGGGAAGCCGTATATTCCGCCTGCAAGGGCGGGGTTATCGCACTGAGCAAGGCCATTGCCCGCGAGGCAGGTCGCTACGGATTGCGGCTGAATGTGGTTTGCCCCGGCTTGATAGTTCCCCCGGACGAAGAGCAGATCAGTCCTGAAAGCATGTGGAATCAGATGCGGGACATCTTTACCGATGATGTGCTCGAAAGAGTGGAGCGCGCTTATGTCCTGCGGCGTATGGGTAAAGCCAGCGAGATCGCCAACGCGGTGGTGTTCCTGGCTTCCGACGCTGCGAGTTTTATCACCGGCCAGACTCTCAGCGTCAGCGGGGGCTATACGATGATGTAGGGCCGCGTAAGAATTGGAGTGAGGCGCCCAGTCTCCTTCTGTTTTCCCGTCGACAAATGACAAACTAGACGGCCCGGCTTCAAAGCCGGGCCGTCTTTGGTTACCTGATTAGCCAGAAAGGGGCTCAAGGCTACAGGGCAGCGACGCGCTCCCGCAGGGTCTCGATTTCCTTCAACAGGGCGGCCTTGGGATCATTGCCACCACGGTTTTCCTCGACCAACTCGAGGGCACGCTTTTCGATGGCAGGCATGGTGGCCTGGAGCAGGTTCTCGTCAACATCATTGGCGATGGTGGGGTAACCTGCGCGCTCGATCATACCCCTCAGGTTGCCGGCATAGAACTGGTCCAGCGTCCAGCGCAAGGTCTCGCCGGAGGTGGTGGTGTCCCAGTAAATGCGAATGTCCTGGTTCCGGGGACCGTAGTGATAGTGGGGGCCGTTAAGGAAGCAGTCGAAGGCCAACAGCTCCACGGTCTGGTCGGCCACGTCGGAAAGGACGTGAATCGCGAGACCTTCGGAATTGCCAGCAAACCGGTATTCCAGTCCGATGCGCAGGTTGCCGACGGTGTAAACATCGTCTTCCAGCATTCGCTCGAACTTATGCGCTACCGTGCGGCGCTGGTTTACGGCCATCTGGCGGCCCTGGGCCTCGATCTCGTCCAGGGTAGATTCCGAGACAGGATTGGCTGCCACGGCGTCGGCCAAGGCCTCGTAACCGGAGCGGCGAATCATCTCGGGGAGCTTGGTCCGAAGGTGGCCCATGGTCCAGCCGAAGGGGGTGCCAACGGTGGTCTTGTCCATGTTCAACCGAATGTTGTTGTTAGCGGGGCCATAGTGGTAATGAGGCAACTGATCGAAGCAGTCAAAGCGCAGGATCTCTACGTCATTATCGTCAACCTTGCCAAATACCTGTACGCACAGGCCCTGATCGGGCATAAGCGCTCGGTATTCCAAGGTAATGTCCACGGGGCCGGCATTGAAGATTACACTTCCTTTGTCCACGATATTCCTCCTAGAATTAGTTCTTGAAGTGCCCTGATGTCTGGGTATGCCTCAAATCTATCAACCCGCCTAAACGGGTCGAATGCTGCGGGCCGGAACCCCATCCTCACTTCATCCCCTGCCGACATTACAGTTACGTTGACTGACTCTTCTCACTGTTCAGGTCATCAACGCTGCCTGAATGCCGATTTCCTAGGCTCGCGTATTTGATATTCCCGATTATAACACGACCTAGACATTTGGCAAATTGAAATGGTTGCGGCTAACAGGGAAAATCCGTTGTTATTGGCCTGAGATAGTGAATTCAGTCCTGCTAAACCAAGGGGGAAACTTCTGCGCCCTTAGGGGATTGGATATGTTGGCAGGCTCAGAACAGAGTTAAAAGGGGGCACCAACCCTCCGAAGGCTAGGCATTACCTCAATTGGAAACGCACGTTAAATTGCAGAACCATGTCGATAACTCTTTTTGGCAAACTCTGCACCTGCGGCCTCTTGTTGCTACTAATCTCGACTGTGGCGGTCTCGACGGGATGCGGTTTCTTCAATGGAAGGTCGGGCGAATCCTCGAAGGGCGAGCTAGAAAATGCCGATACTTTCATTGAGCCACCGGCGGCAATCTTTGACCACGTTCCCACCATTTCCGTAAATCCTTCACCAATCCCCACGCCCTATGCATTGCCGTTGTCCGATGCAAGAGTCCAAAATCAGGGGCCCCTGGTCATACGGCCCAACCGGTCGGGCTTTGGCCTTAGTGCCGCACCCGAGTCTCCTGAACCTTCACAGAGGATTGGCGAAGTACCCACTGTTCAGTCCCCCACAAACGACCAGGCCTTACATGCGGGCGACCCTGCTGCCGCGAGCCTCCTGCCATCCCAAGGAAGAACCAACGCTACCGAACCGACTCCTTCGAACTTACAGGAGGCGACTACCAGTCCCGCACCCCTTGAGCAGAAGGACGAATTGAGCGTACAAGGGGCTCAAGCTTCAAACTTTCAAGCTATAACCGCATTTCCCCAGCCAGTGCCACTGCCGAACACAACCTCTACGCCGACTGCCATTCCCACATTGGCGTCGCCGCCGACTTCAACCGCCGAACCGACGGTGACTCCCACACAAAATCCCTCTCCCACTCTCACCCATACCGCGGCACCTTCGCCAACCCCCACGCCATCTCCCAGACCGACCCAAACGCCCGAGCCGACCCCTACTCCCTTGCCTACGCCGACAATTGCGCCAACTCCCGCGCCAACTGCTACACCTAGTCCTACTCCCACATCTACCGCGACCGCTACTCCCGTTCCCTCGCCAACACCTTCACCTACTGCCACGCCAATACCGACAGCTACATCTACGCCGCGACCACCGGAACCAATCACTGGCGTCGAAATAGAGTGCATTTTCTTTGACGGAGAAGTGCCTCGGTCTGAAGCGGACGAGTACGTGCAAATAGTCAACAAGAGCCGTCAGTCGGTAAACCTGGAGGGGTGGAGGCTGGCAGACCTGGGCGACAGGCGGCAGGAATTCACGTTTGAAGAGCCCTACACCCTTGTGGAAGGGGGACGAATCCGGGTCTACACCAATCAAGTGCACCCACAGTGGGGAGGTTTTTCTTTCGGCTACGGCAGGTCAATCTGGCATAACACAGATCCCGATACCGCGGGCCTGTTTGATAGTTGGGGAAGGCGGGTTTCGCAGAAGAGTTATCCTCCAGGGTGCGAGTAAATCAGAAGGACTTGGAAACGCTGAAAGTTAAGTAAGATTATCGGCTTGATTTGCCAAAGAGCCTTGGAACGCGTGGCCTGCAGCCATGGATACAAAAGTGAGCCACATGCAGTGACAAGAAAATACGGTGGCGACTTAGGCAGAACCGGTCTAAAGCTCGTACTCTTTCATATCGGGTGAGATGATCAACTGAGCATCCGTTAGGCCCTGAACTTCTTCAGCGGTCCACCCGGGCGCGACCTCAATCAGTACCAAGCCCTCGGGTGTCGGCTTCATAACTGCCAGGTCAGTTACTATCAAAGAGACGCAATCCTTTCCGGTGATAGGATAGGTGCATTCCTGCACCACCTTCGCGTTATCCTGCCGGTCGGTATGCTCCATCGCTACTATGACCTGCTTGGCTCCAGCGGCCAGGTCCATCGCCCCGCCAATGTTGCCTACACCCCGTTCGGGCAGCATCCAGTTGGCCAGGTCTCCGGTGGCAGAAACCTGGTGTGCCCCCAGCACGGTGACGTCCACGTGGCCGCCGCGAATCATAGCGAATCCGTCAACGGTGCTGAAAAAGGCCATGCCGGGCACCTTTTGCAAGAATTGCCCCCCCGCGTTTATGAGGTCTATATCCTGCTCTTCTTCATCTTCAGCCAGGGGCCCGCAGTTTAGTACACCGCTCTCACTGTGATAGAAAACCACGCTGCCATCGGGAATGAAGTTGGAAACCAGGGTGGGAATGCCGATGCCCAGGTTAACGAAGCCACCATCGGGCAACTCCTTGGCCACCCGCATGGCAACCACCTCGCGGGGCAGTCTCTCTTTTTCTTCAACCATAGAATAACCTCTATTGGCGACCTTCCGGTCAGCCTATTCGTAAGGAGAAAAGCCCTCGGGCCGTTTCACAATCCGGTCTACGTAAATGCCCGGCGTAACTATCAACTCCGGATCCAGTTCCCCGGGCTCCACAATTTCGTCAACCTCAATCACAGTTATATCGGCCGCCGGCGCCATAACCGCGTTGAAGTTTCGTGAAGTGCCCTTGTAAACCACGTTTCCCAGGGTGTCGGCCTTGTGGCCCCGAATAAGGCAGTAGTCGGCCCTTAACGCCAATTCCAGGACGTACTCTTTACCGTCAATAGTCCTGGTTTCCTTCCCTTCCGCGATGAGTGTACCCACGCCGGTAGGGGTGTAGAAAGCATGAATTCCGGCTCCACCGGCCCGTAACCTTTCTGCCAGGGTTCCCTGGGGAACAAGCTCCAACTCCACTTCACCCCGGCGGTAGGCTAGCTCGAAGGTGCTGGGGCGGGAGGCTGAAGGAGATACCGGGTAGGTAGCAATGGCCTTTGCAACCTGGCCGCTTTCAACGATGACGGAGTGGTCTATTGCCAGCTTTCCGGGGGGAGTGCCAAAATTGACCGACCGGGCCAGACCGATGGTATTACTGATGACGGTGAGGCCCTTAGTTCCCTGTTCACGCAGCGTTACAAGCAGGTAGTGGGCCATGCCACCGGGACCACCAAACCCGTCAATCATGACGACGGCGCCGTCAGGCATATCCCCGATGGCTGAGGGCCCGTTAGGACATACCTTATTGACTCTGCTGGCGTTCAAGGAGTCAAGATTTGAGGAAAACTGTTTTACATCAGGCGCCACTGAAATGGGTGAGCCGGTTAATGAAGCCACGTCGTCGGCTGTCCAGCCTGGCGCCACCTCAGTAAGCACCAACCCTGATTCCTCTACCCGAAGGACAGCCAGATCAGTGACTATAAGGTTAACGCAACCCCGACAGTCGGCTACTGGAGAAGTCCCGCCCACAATGTTGGGGCTTCCGTCCGCTCCAGCATGGGGAAGCATGGCAATTAGCCGACACCCCCCGGAGGCAAGGTCAATCGATGACCCGGGGGCGAAGAGACCCGGGGTCGCCGCCGTGGTCCAACCAATGAAGTCCCCGGCAGCGTTGACGCGCGTGGGCTGGACCACCGCCACGTCCACGTGACCACCACGCAGCATGGCGGCCCAGTCAACCATTCCAAACACACTTCCGCCTGCACTTAGCCCAATCGATTCCCCATTGGCTCCCAGAAATGCTCCCTTTCCAGGCTCGCCATCATTGCCAGCGGCCCGATAACCCAACACACCACCGTCGGAAAGCAACTGTACGGATGCCTCCGCAGGTAACACATCCGCCACTCTTGCTGGCAAACCCCGCTCCCAAGGCAACCACCTGGTCCGCCTTAAACTCGCCGGCAACACGCCGCGCCATGGTAAGTGCATCCAGTCTGTCCGGCATGGTAGTCCTATTTGTCTCGTAGATAGAGCTAGTCGTTGGCAGCTACAATACGGTTGACGAAAATACCCGGAGATATGATACCCTCCGGGTTCAGCTCTCCGGGTCCCACAATATGTTCAGCCTCGGCTATGGTTATCCTGGCAGCCATAGCCATGACCGGAGCCCAGTTACGTCCTGATCCCTCGTAAATTGCGCTTCCCAGCGTGTCGGCAGTCGTTACCTTAATCAGGGCATAATCAGCCTTCATGGGCAGTTCCAGTACTGCCTCTCCGTTGGCAAAAGACCGCTTTTCCTTCCCTGTTTCGAACCTGGTACCCACCGCGGTGGCAAGAAATACACCCCCAATTCCGGCACCGCCAGCGCGCAACCTTTCTACGAGGGTTCCCTGGGGGACAACCTCAATTTCCAACTGACCGGACTGCCATTGTTCCTGGATTACGCCTCCATTCCCCGGGGCAAATGGCAAGGGAGAGATCAGTTTCTTGACCTGTCCATTGGTCACCAGTTGGGAATTGCAGAGGCTGGGAATTGCTGATCAGACCCGGACTCGCTAATTGGCCCGCTGCAATAGACGACAGTCAGGCCTCCGACGCCGCCTGCCTCCAGCGCAGCCACCAGGCCGTTGGCGACGCCGTGGCCGGCGAACCCGGATACGAGCACGGTCGAGCCTTCCTGAATATCGGCTAAAGCGGCCTGTGCTGAGGAATATACCTTACCCTGGGCCAAGATGTTGCCTCGCAATTTTTGAGGCCAATTCTAACAGCAATGCCCGAGTCGGTGAAGGTCAGGGCAATCGCACTTCGAGGAGTAGACACTGCCAGCCGGGATTTACCATGGGAGGAGATGCGGACAAAGAGTCCCCTGTTTTCGCTCATTTCGGCCCACTGCCTCCCCAACAACGGATGTTCTAAACATGGTTAGGGCCAATATTTCTATTTCTCCCACCATTTCCGCTCATTTCCAACCATTGATCCCCTGCCAGCAGGTAGCCTGAACCGGGTTGGTGGAAGTCGGCCTTACTAATACCATGGTAGAAGGGGGTAACAGGGGCTGTCCAGTGACGGTTGTCATCTGACTCGGCGTACGCCGGTCAAAGAAAGTCCCTGAAGAGGGGTTGATGCACGGATTCTCAAGAACATTTTCCATTGTGAAGCCGAATGAGAATGCCATGAGGTGAAGGCGCGGGAACCCTACAATGAAGAGACCGCCCCGAATAATCGGGGCGGTCTACCATGCAGAGTTAATAACCGGCCGTATTCCGGCCTGCCGTTAAATGGTGCCTAGTAGTCCATCGGCGGCATTGCGGAGGCAGCGGAAGCCGGCTCAGGGATCTCGGTAATCATGGACTCGGTGGTCAGCACCATAGCGGCAACGCTGGCAGCGTTCTGAAGTGCGTACCGGGTGACCTTCACCGGGTCAACGATACCGCGCTCCATCATGGGCCCGAACACGCCGATGTCAGCATCGTAACCGTAGTCGTCAGCCTGCTGCTTGACCTGGTTCAATACGACGGCGCCTTCGGAACCGGCGTTTTCGACAATGAGCTTCAAGGGCTGTTCCAAGGACCGGCGGATGATATTCACGCCGACCTCTTCGTCGCTGTTAAGGACGGTGATGTTGTCCAGGGCCCGCTGGGCGCGAACCAGGGCAACTCCGCCACCAGGTACGATGCCTTCTTCGACGGCGGAACGGGTAGCGGACAGTGCGTCCTCAACCCGGGCCTTGCGCTCCTTCAACTCTATCTCGGTGGCAGCGCCGACCTTGATGACCGCCACGCCACCGGACAGCTTTGCCATCCGCTCTTGCAGCTTTTCGCGGTCGAATTCAGAGGTGGTCTCTTCAATCTGGGTCTTAATCTGGTTGATGCGGGCCTGGATCGCTTCCTCAGAACCGCGACCCTCAACGATGGTGGTCTCGTCCTTGGTGGAGCTAACCCGGCGGGGCCTGACCGAAGTCTTCGACAACGGCGGAATCCAGCTTGCGGCCGGTCTCTTCGCTGACGACCGTGCCACCGGTCAAAATGGCAATGTCTTCCATCATGGCCTTCCGGCGGTCGCCGAACCCGGGAGCCTTCACTGCCAGGATGTTCAGGGTTCCGCGCAGCTTGTTTACCACCAGGGTGGCCAGAGCTTCGCCGTCTACGTCTTCGCTGATGACAACGACGTTTTTCCGGCCGACCTGGAGAAGCTTCTCCAGAGCGGGCAGAAGGTCGGCAACGGCGGAGACCTTCTTGTCAGTGATGATGATGGCGGCGTCTTCAATCACGGCTTCCATGCGGTCGGCATTGGTGATGAAGTAAGGGGAAATGTAGCCGCGGTCGACCTGCATACCTTCGACGTACTCAATCTCGTCGGAAAGACCCTTGGACTCTTCAACGGTGATTACGCCGTCCTTACCGACTTTTTCCATGGCTTCGGCAATGGTCTCGCCGATGGCCTCTTCGTGGGCTGACAAGCTGGCAACCTGTCCGATGCGGTCGCGGGTCTCGACGGGCTGGGCCATGCCGCGGAGTTCTTCCACGACGGCAGCAACGGCCCGTTCAATACCCCGCTTGATAGCCATGGGGTTGGCACCGGCGGTTACGTTCTTGAAACCTTCATTGATCAGGCACTGGGCCAGCACGATGGAAGTGGTGGTGCCGTCGCCGGCAGCATCGTTGGTCTTGGTGGCTGCTTCCTTAATTAGCTGGGCACCCATGTTCTCAAAGGCGTCGGGAAGCTCAATTTCCTTGGCGATGGTTACGCCGTCGCTGCAGACCAGGGGCGGACCAAACTTCTTGTCCAGTACCACGTTGCGACCCTTGGGGCCCAGGGTAACCTTGACGGATTCGGCCAGGGTATCAATGCCTATTCGAAGAGTCTTGCGAGCCTCTTCCGAGTAGGCCATTTTTTTTGCGGGCATCCTATTCCTCCTGAATTGAATCTAGCTTGCTATGGTATTTCTCGCGCCCGCCCACTCGGTTCGGCGGGCGAAGCATCCCAGGTCTTGCCTAGGAAACCTTGGCGAGAACGTCGCTTTCGCGCATTATTAGGTACTCGTCGTCGCCGTCTTTGTATTCGGTCCCGGCAAACTTGGAGTAAATGACCCGATCACCAACGTTCAATTCCATGGGAATTCGGCTTCCCTCGTCAGTGGCCCGGCCCGGGCCCACAGCGATGACTTCACCTTCCTGAGGCTTTTCCTTAGCGGTGTCCGGCAGGAAGATTCCACCGCGGGTGGTCTGTTCTTGTTCTATGGGTTTTATAAATATCCGCTCTCCTAGCGGAGCAAAATTTGACATGGTATTTACTCTTTCCTCCTTATATATTCGGTCTGGACTTTCACATTTTTAGCAGTCTCGCCCTGAGACTGCTAATTCATCCTAATAAAGGCGCAACCACTTGTCAATATATTGTCTGCCACTTAGTATTTATCCGTTCCATTAATCGGAGTCTGAGCAGGCCTTCGTCATTCCATACAGGTATATCTCTCTTCAAACTGAAATCATAGGGGCATGGGACGCCGCTAAAATTGTTTTGCATCGTCCCGATGCCAAGAACTGCATCGACGAGTTACTCGCTGAGGAACTCCGCGACGCCTGCCAGAGAATCGGCGTGAACGCCGCTTTACGCCTGGTTACCGTCACGGGAGCCGGCGACAGTTTTTTCGGTCGGCCGCGCAAAAACTGGCGGCAACGCCCGTTGCATATCAGACCAACTGTCACGGTTGAAGGTAGCCGACTCCCTGGAGGCTCTGACGATTCCGGTCATTGTCTCCATCAACGGCGATGCCATGGGACACGGGCTGGAACTGGCACTGGCAGGGGACTTGCGAATTGCGGTGGACGAAGCCCAGTTCGCGCTTTCAGCGTCCGGTCATCCAGAGTTTCCCTGGGACGGAGGGACCCAGCGGCTACCCCGCCTGGTTGGCACAGCCTGGGCTCTGGACATAGCGATGACCGGCCGCTCCCTCAACGCTGCGGAAGCTCTAAAAATCGGCTTGGTCAATCGAGTTGTTCCACGAGAACGCCTCGAAGAAGCTACCCGAGAATTGGCAGAACAAGTTTTGGCCTCCGCCCCCATCGCGGCGCGATACGCCAAGGAAGCGATTGGCAAGGGAATGGACATGACCCTGGAGCAGGGACTGAGACTCGAGGCGGACCTGAGTGTAATTCTGCAAAGCACAGCGGACCGGGCCGAAGGCATCGCTTCCTTCAAGGAGCGACGCGCACCTGAATTCGGCGGTACCTGAACCAAAACCAACAGGAGAGCGGCCCACAACGCCCCCGGCGAAACGGCACCAGAGGAATAGCACACTTGAAAGTTAAACTGGACCTGCACACGCACATTTGGGAAGCCTTTAATTTCCAACCGCCTTCCCTGTCCATCGCCGAAAAAGTGATTTCCCAGATAAAGGAACAGGGCATTGACGCATTGCCATTACCGATCACCACAACTGGCAGTGGGGCGCGGAATTCCGCGAGCTGGTTGAGGAGCACTTCCCGGGCGAAGCAATCATCATTCCCGGCTGGGAGATTGAAATTCGCCCGCCCCACAGTCCCTTTGACGAGTACCAGGTCAGTGAACTATTCCTTCCCGAGGGAGGAGTTTTCAGGATCTACTGCCATCCAGGCTACTACTCTCCAAACATCATCATTGAGGACGATGTTCACGCCATCGAGATAGACAACTACATCCACAACTGGCACATCAGAAAACCCCAAGTCCAAGAGGTGGCAGACAAGCATTCGCTGATGACTGTGGAGGTCAGCGACGCTCATGTACTGGAAAATGTAGGGCTCCGCTACACCGAGGTGGACCTGGATGAACTGTACGACCGCGCCATGCCATTGGACCGATGGCAAGGGTAGGCCCAGTGTCAGCTTACAGCACAATAATGCTGGAAAAACGGGGCCAGGCCGCCCACATTTCCCTGAATCGACCATCTGCCCTGAATGCCTATAACATCCAGATGAGGGATGATTTTTTTGAAGCTTTGGCTGCCGTAGATTTCGACGACGAGGTCCGGGCCCTTATAATATCGGGCCAGGGAAGGGCATTTTGTGCCGGCGCTGACCTGACCGAATTCGGCACCGCACCTTCACAGGTGGTTGCGCGACGGGTGCGCTGGGAGCGGGATGTATGGGGGCAACTGAACAGCCTGACTATCCCCACAGTTGCAGCGGTGCATGGCTATTGCATCGGCTCCGGGATAGAAATCATGCTACTTTGCGACCTGCGCATCGCCGCTGATGATACCGTCTTTGCCATGCCCGAACTGCATCTCGGCATGATTCCGGCAGCCGGAGGAAGTCAGACCCTGCCTCGAAATTGCGGCCCCTCCGCTACCCTGGAGTTGTTACTGACCGGACGTCGCATCGATGCAACGGAAGCCCAGGAGTTGGGCCTGATAACGCAGGTTGTGACAGGCCACCAACTTATGCAGACAGCGTGGGCAATTGCTTCGAAGTTCGGCAGTGATGCGTCAGGTACTGCCAGCAATGTCAGAAAGGCTATACGTGAAGGAATGGACTTAAGCCTCCGAAAAGGACTGGAACTGGAAGCAAGAGTTGCCAGCACAGCATATGGCGAGAAAACCCCGCCAAATTCGTAGGTGGAAGTGCTCTCAAGGTACGCGGTCACTTCTGCAGGATGGCAGCAATTCGTAACTCTTCGAGTCCATTAGTGAATAGGCTAAGGAAACAGACCAAATGAACACTAGCGAGTTCCTGATTATTGCCGGCGCAATCGTGCCCGACCGACCGGCACTGCTGTTTGAAGGGGAGCAATTCTCCTTTTCCCAACTGCAAGAACGTGTCAATCGAGTGGCCAACGCACTCGCAGACTTGGGCATTGGGCCGGGCGATCGAGTGGCTACCATGCAGGTCAACTGCAACCAGAGCATAGAGATCTACTTCGCCGCCGCCCTGCTGGATGCCATTTACGTTCCCCTCAATTTCCGTGCCAAGGCCGAAGAATTGGCCCAAATGCTGGAAATCGCGGGGCCAAGAGTCCTTTTCATCGGCGAACGTTACCTTCCCTTAATCGAGAATCTGGACTGGTTGTCTCCAGATCAAGTCATTACCCTAGGTTGCCCGGCGGGGCCAGGCCAGAACTCTTATGATGACCTTTTGCAGAGCCCGCCCGACGAGCTTCACTTCCCTGAAGGGGACGAAGACGACACTACCGTCATTATGTTTACCTCTGGCACCACCAGCGTTCCCAAGGGAGTACAACTGACCCACGACAGCTTCGCCTCTTATTTGCTTTCTACTGTGGAGCCTGCCGACCCTGATGTGGAAGAGACCAACCTGCTGACGGTGCCCCTCTACCATATTGCCGGCTTGCAGGCGGCATTAGCGGCCATTTACGGCGGTCGTACCCTGGCAGTAATGCGCCAGTTCGACCCCCTGGAATGGCTGACCCTGGCCCAAGACAGCCGGGCCAATCGGGCCATGCTAGTCCCGACCATGCTGAAACGCCTGATGGACTACCCGGACTTCCGCATTTATGATCTGTCCGCCCTGCGGGTTATTACCTACGGCGCAGCACCAATGCCCCTCCCGGTGATCCGCCAGGCAATTGGAGAGTTTCCCGGTGTACGCTTCATTAATGCGTTCGGCCAAACCGAAACCGCCTCCACCATAACCATGCTTCCCCCGGAAGACCACGTTCTTGACGGCTCTCCAAAAGAGGTAGAAGTCAAGCTGCGCCGACTCTCTTCTATCGGCAAGCCCCTGAACGACGTTGAAGTTATGATCGTGGACGAAGAGGGAAACCCGGTGTCCACCGGAGACGTGGGAGAAATAGTAGCTCGTGGTTCGCGGATGATGAAAGGCTACTGGCAACAGCAGGACGCGACCGTCGATACCATCAAGGGCGGGTGGGTCTATACCGGCGACCTGGCCTACCAGGACGAGGACGAGTACATATACCTGGCCGGGCGGGCCCGGGACTTCATCAAGCGGGGTGGCGAGATGATTTCCCCGGAAGAGGTGGAGCAGGTGCTAATGTCCCACCCCCAGGTTGATGAGGCTGCCATCATCGGTGTTCCTGACCTGGAATGGGGCGAAGAAGTGAGGGCGCTGGTGGTGCGAAACTCCGATTCGGTTAATGAATCAGAGTTGATGGAGCACTGTTCCCAACATCTCTCCAGCTACAAGCGACCCCGTTCGGTGGTCTTCATAGACCAGTTGCCGCGGAACGTCATGGGCAAAGTGATGAAGCGAGACCTTCGGGAAGAGTTTGGCTACCCAATTGAATAGCAGATACCTGTAAGTGGAGCCGGGCTCTCGCGGCTTTGCGGCAAGTGCGCAATATACGGCCAAGAATCAGTGAGGCAATTTAAGGAATATGACCATGAACATCGCAGTAATGGGAACCGGCGGGGTCGGCGGCTATTTTGGCGGCTTGTTGGCCCGAGCCGGCAACGACGTAACTTTTGTAGCCCGTGGACCTCACCTTCAAGCCATAAAAAAGAACGGACTCCGGGTCGAGAGCGCCAACGATGGTGACTTCACCGCTCACGGCAACGCCCTCGAAGATACATCCGAAGTTGGGCCCCAGGATCTGGTCATCTTCACCGTCAAGATGTATGACAACGAAGACGCCATCGACGCAATAAGACCCTTTATGGGCCCCGATTCCCTGGTTTTGACCCTGCAGAACGGCATAGATAATGGCAAGCAACTGGTGGATGTTTTCGGGAAGGAGCGGGTGCTTATTGGGTCCTGCTACATGGAAGGCCGCATAAAAGAACCCGGCGTGGTCACCCAAGGCGGGCCGGGCATGGCTTCCTTCGGCGAACTGGAGCCGGGTATTACCGAGCGTTGCGAAAAGCTCCTGGCGGTTTTTCAGGAAGCAAACTGGCGCGTAGAACTCCAGGAAAACATGCCCGGTATGCTCTGGAAGAAGTTCTCCTACCTCGCAGGATCGGCTGCCGTTGGCGCCGCCACCCGAACACTTTTCGGAGAAATGCGTTCAATCCCAGAGACAAGAGAAATCATCCGGGGCGCCATCGCGGAAATCCTGGAAGTGGGAAGGGCTTCCGGAGCCCCGATAATGGAAGATTCCCTCGAATGGTGCTTGACCTCCCTGGATAATTTTCCTGCCACCGGTATGTCATCCTTGGGCAAGGATTTTCTGGAGGGACGCCCGGTGGAACTGGACGGCCTTACCGGGACAGCGATCAGGATGGCTCGGGAAATTGGAGTTCCCACACCCATCAACGATACCCTTTACGGCATCCTGAAACCGTGGGCGCTCCGAATCGAGCAGGAACTTAGCAAACCCAGTCCCCAGATCGCGGTTCTTGGCCCCCAGGAAAACTATATCGACTAAGAAACTATCTCGCGAATCCCTTTCCCCTTACTGGGGTAAGGTCAGCATGGGGGCAACAACTGGCGATACGGCCCCACTGGGCACAACAGCCAATTTCACCGCCGATATTGAGTAATCTCCAAGTCCCGGCTCCCCAAAAATATTTGCAACCAATGTTTTAATGGTTTTCGGAGGCTATCCATAAATGAAAGCAGCCCGACTGGTTGGTCCACGGCAGTTTGAAATAATCGACGCGGAAGTCCCGTCGCCTGGAGAGGGCCAGTGCTTGATTAAATTGGAGAACATATCCGTCTGTGGCAGCGACATCCGCCACGAGTACAGCCACCTGTTCCCTGAAGATCACTACCCGGGCCGTCTGGGGGTACCGGGCCACGAGTGCGCCGGCGTAGTGGTGGAAAGCCGTACCCAGGAGTACCGAGAAGGCCAGAGGGTGATCATCTATCCGGGTCGGGGCGTAAACTCCGGCGGCTTGGTGGAGTATATTGCTTCGGGCCCCGAATGGATGTGCGCTCTTCCGGACGAGGGCGATCTGGCTGAGTGGGTGCTTTGCCAGCCATCGGGCACGGTCCTCTACTCGGTCCAGCAAATGGGCAGCCTGTTGGGCAAGGATGTCGTAGTGGTAGGTCAGGGTGTCATCGGCCTTTCCTTCACCATGCTTTGCGCCAAGCTGGGAGCCCAGAGGCTAATAGGGATTGACCCCATTGACTATCGCCTGGACTGGTCAAGAAAGATGGGCGCGACTCACGCCTTCAGTCCTGACCAGGTTGACGTTATCGAGGCGGTAGAAGAACTTACCGGGGGCCGAGGCGCCGACGTTGTAGTGGAGGCGGCCGGTTATCCGGACAGCTTCAATACCGCCTTGCGCCTAGTGTCCCAGTTCGGCAAGATAATGGTGTTTGGAATCCAGGGTGATGAATTTATACCGGTGGAGCACAACCTGCTAATGGAACGACAGCCCACCTTAATACCAACCACCGGCGGTCGCCTGCGTGAGCCCATGGCCCCGATACGGACCATGGTGGACCTGAAACATCGGGGCTGGTGCGACCCGGGGCAGATGCTTACCCACCGCCTGCCCTTTCACGAAGTCCAGCGGGCCTTCGAAATGTACGAGAATCAGGAAGATGGCATAATCAAGGTCGTAATGACCCTGTAGACGCGTAAACCTATAAACACACGAGGAGGAAACTATGGGAACCTATCGCATGTACACCGGCGACGACGGACAGACCCACATCGAAACGATTGACCTGGCCAACACCCCGGATTGGACCGCCGCCCAGGAAGCCGCCACCATCACTTTCAGGGAGGCCCCCGCAGGCCGTTTCCAGGACTGGCACCCGGCGCCCCGGGCCCAGTACGTCATAATACTGTCTGGACAGTTGGAAATCGGTCTGGGCGACGGGTCAAAGCACATTTTTGGCCCCGGCGACGCCCGCCTGGTTGCCGATACCACCGGACAGGGACACACCACGGCATCCTACGGTGACGCTCCCTGCGTTACGGCCACTATCCCCCTGGCAAACCAATAAGCAGGCCCATAGCGACCGGTACAGCACGGAGGCGGGGTTAGAATCCCGCCTCTAATTTTCCGGGTAGGTCAGTTTCAATAGAGTGTGTCGGCGGTTCAAGGTATAAGGCCGCACATCGTTGGGCCAACTGCCAGCGTCCACCGCTTCGCTCCAGCCGGGTCCGGTCAGCACTTCGGGCGATTCCAGTTCGTACAGGGCGTGGTGCTTGGGTTCGCCTTCGATTACGATCCTGCGGGTCTCGCCTCCCATAACCATCACCAACTCCTGGGTCTCAAACCGGGCAACGGAAATTACGCCGGGTACTTGAGAAAGCAGCGGGCAATGTTCGGTGTTGTAGACTTCGTTGAACCGAGCCTCCCGGTCAGGTTCAACATCCATGCTGGCGATGAACAGGTACTTGGAATGTGAAGGCATCCTCTCAACTCCTAAAATCAATTGGCCCTAACTTTTGTGCGGCCGTCCCGATTATAGGAGAAGAGGATAGGGGAAACAAAAGGGCCCGGCTAACGTGTGTTAGCCGGGCCCGGTCTCTTTCCGGTTACGAGTCGGACTAGAAAGCCCGTTTGTGGGAGGTCTCAACTTCCGCGCTGGTGATGAACTCGAGCAGCACTGCCCGACCCTCTTCCGTTTGCTGGCGGGCGCGAGTAAAGGCCGCCGAGATGTCTGACGGGTCTTCAATGCGCTCGGCATAGCCGCCCATGGCGCGTCCCATATCGGCGTAATTGCCCCCCAGATCGCGGGTGCCATACAGTTCGTGAGAGGTGGCCATAGCCCCCGTTTCCACTGCCATAGTGGAGTTGTTCAGCACCACGGTAATTATGGGTATGCCGCAACGGGCCGCAGTTTCGAAGTCAAGACCGGTCATTCCAAAGGCGGCGTCGCCCATGAAATTAACACACACCTTTTCAGGTTTGGCGAGTTTGGCGCCCATTACCAGGCCCAGGCCCGTGCCCAGACCGTGGGACTTGCCCCAGCCCAGGTAGCTGCGCGGCCCTTGGGACCGATAGAAAGGCATGATCTGGTCCCTTGGGCTCCCCGAATCGTGAGTAATAATGGCCTCGCCGGGGGGTACGGTCTGCATGAATTCCTTGATTACCCGATAGGGATTTATCGGTGTACCGGAATCGTTCAGCTTGTGGGCCCAATCGTTAAGCCAGGCATCCCTCTCCGAAAGAATTTCATGAGTGGTACTTTCATCGTTCTTACGGCTGTCGCCGACCAGATCCCGGCAGGCATCGATCATTTGCCGCAGCACTAGCTTGGCGTCTCCCACTATGGGATAGTCGACGTCATAGTCCTTGTTTATGTCCCTTGGGTCGTTGGTGGCGTGAATCAGGGTCTTGCCCGGGGAATGTTCATGGACATGCCGTGCCTGGTGAAGCTGCAACCGATTCCAAACATGACATCGGCCCGGCGCACGAAGTGGTACACCGGCCCCGACATTACCCCCGTACCGCTGCCCAACGCCAGGGGATGGGTTTCAGGGAAGGAACTCTTGCCGAGCAGTGTGGTCATAACCGGAACCTGGAGCAATTCCGCCAACTCGATTAGCTCGTCATAAGCCCGAGCATACAAGACTCCCTGGCCGGCGTGGATAACAGGATATCGGGACCCGCATAGCGCTCGGGCCGCTGCCTCCACGTCAGTGGGGTCTCCCTGGGAGGCCACACGGCGCACCTTTTGGCTCCAGAAGAACGCAGTCTCGTCCACCTCCTCCAAAGCCACGTCAGCCGGTATCTCCACCATCACGGGTCCGACCCGACCCTGGTGCATTCCCGCGAAAGCCCGGCGCATGACCTGGGAAGTTCGGGACGCCATGTTTATCTGCTCGATGTGCTTCGTAACACCGGCGTAGTTGGCGACCGAATTGAAGTGGGGGATTATTCCCTGCCGCTCCCGTGGATGCCCCAGAGGAAGCAGCAGCATGGGAGTCGAATCGGAAAAAGCAGTCGCAACGCCCGGATACGCATTCTCGGCGCCCGGACCGTACTGCATGGCGAAAACCCCGGGGACTTCACCGTCCGTTACCCTGCTGTAGCCGTCGGCAATGCCCACGCCCACCCGTTCCTGACGGCAGACGATGGGCCGGATACCGGCAGCGGCAGCCGCTTCAATTACCGGGGTGGTGGGAAAGCAACTCAGGTATTCAACGCCTTCCCGCTTTAGAATCTCGGAGATGGCCTCAATTGTATTCAAAACCTCACCCCTTTTTCTTCAAATTCGGCTTGCATCCTGGTCCCTATCAGCTTTAACCCCGCGCCGCCTCAAAAGCGGCTATCTTATCCTCCTGCTGCAACGTAAGGCCAATATCGTCCAGGCCGTTCAGCAGGCAATAACGCCGGAATTGGTTTACGTCGAAATCGACAACGATCTCTTCGTTTTCGTCCCAAACTCTTTGAGCCTCCAGGTCCACGTGCAGGCGAACTCCGGGGTTCTCCAACGCCAAATCCATAATCTGCCGTACCTTTTCCTCGGGCAGCACGATGGGCAAAAGCCCGTTCTGGAAGCAATTGTTGAAGAAAATGTCCGCAAAGCTGGGGGCTATTACACAGCGTATGCCGTATTCGTTCAAGGCCCAGGGAGCGTGCTCCCGGGATGAGCCACAGCCAAAGTTGCGCCCGGCCACCAGAATACTGGCGTTGGCGTAACTTGGCTGGTTCAGCACAAACTCGGGACGGGTGCTGCCATCTTCGTTAAAACGCCAGCGTTCGAACAGAAACTGGCCGTAACCCGTGCGGCGGATGCTCTTGAGGTGGATCGCCGGAATAATTGCGTCGGTGTCAACGTTGACTCGATCCAGGGGGGCTGCAACGCCGTCGATTTTCACAAAATGGTTCCATTTCTGCTAACTCCTACCATTCCCTGATATCTACAAAGTGGCCGGTAATTGCTGCCGCTGCCGCCATAGGAGGACTTACCAGGTGGGTGCGACCACCCTGGCCCTGCCCTGCCTTCGAAGTTGCGGTTGGACGTGGAGGCGCAACGCTCACCAGGCGAAAGGACGTCCGGGTTCATTCCCAGGCACATGGAGCATCCTGCCACCCGCCAGTCCAGCCCCGCGTCCGTGAAGATGCGGTCCAGACCTTCGGCCTCGGCCTGGGCTTTGATCAGGGCAGAGCCAGGCACCACCATGGCGTAAACGTCAGGATGGACCTTGCGACCCTTGACCACATCGGCGGCGGCTCGAAGGTCTTCCAATCGGGAGTTTGTACAGGCTCCGATGAATACCCGGTCCAGCTTTATATCGGAAATCGGCATGTTGGGTTCCAAATCCATATACGTTAGGGCCCGCTCGGCAGCTTCGCGCTGCGCAGCCTCATCGAAGGAGGCGGGGTCAGGAACCCGGTCGGTTACTTTGGCCACCATGCCCGGGTTAGTACCCCACGTGACGAAGGGTTCCAGGGACGCGGCGTCTATTTCCACCAACCGATCAAAGGTTGCTCCTTCGTCGGAGGGCAACTTGCGCCACTCTTCAATGGCCTTTTCCAGTTCTTCACCCTTCGGCGCAAATTGACGGCCAGTGACGTAGTCAAATGTTGTCTGATCTGGCGCGATCATTCCGGCCCGGGCACCACCCTCGATGCTCATGTTGCAGACCGTCATGCGGCCGTCCATAGAAAGGGAACGGATGGCTTCACCCGTGTACTCGATGACATGACCTACACCGCCGTTCACGCCGATCTGCCCTATGATGCCCAGGATCACATCCTTGGCCACCACGCCCTTGGGCAATTGACCGTCGACCCTAACCTCCATGGTCCTGGGCTTGAACTGGCGGAGGGTCTGCGTCGCCAGCACGTGCTCCACTTCAGACGTTCCAATGCCCACCGCGAGGCAACCAAGGGCGCCATGCGTAGAGGTGTGGCTGTCACCGCATACCACGGTCTTGCCAGGCAGGGTGTAACCCAGGTCGGGGCCAATGACGTGGACGATCCCCTGGTAGGGGCTGAACCGGTCAAACAGGGTAAGGCCAAAGTCGCGGGTATTTTCCACCATGGCATCCAATTGGCCCTTGGAAATCTCATCGGTAATGGGAAGGGACAGGTCCCAGGTGGGGGTGTTATGGTCCACCGTTGCTACGGTCAGATCGGGACGGCGAACGCTGCGGCCGGCCATTCGCAGGCCTTCGAAAGCCTGAGGGGTAGTAACCTCATGTATCAAATGCAGGTCTACGTAAAGTACAGTGGGCTGCCCTGGTTCCTCATGAACCACGTGGGCGTCCCAAATCTTCTCGAACATCGTCCGCGGCGGCATAAAAAATACTCTCCCGTAAGTTGGAATCTGTGGGATTCTTCAATCAGATCCCATGCTCTTTTGAATCTGGGCCATTATAACATTACACCTAGACGTTGACAGCCAAATACTTTTGCCAGATATTCCTGTTGTAGCCGTTCTGATTTAGGGTATCGGGAAGGAAGATGGAGGCGGGTCTGAGAATTGGAGGATGCTATATCGAGGTTGGCCTGAATTCGTACGACTACCTTTCCATTACCCTGGTTTCCATTCCATTACCCTGATTTCCATGCTGTGGTTCCTGGCAGTCTTTGCCTTCCGTTTGGCCGTTGCTTTTCTGGAACTCTTTCCCCGATTGAGTTCAATTGAAACCAATTTCCAGCTCTCCCCCTCGCCTGGAACTCCTGACTTGGCACACCTTCCTGGCGAGCCTCATCATAGCCCTGGCCCTGGGCCCAATCACTCATTACGCCATAACCAGGGCCGCCGTGTTCAAGATTTACCATGACGCTATGATGGGCGAACTGAGCAATGAAGATGTACGTCCGGAGAAACCGGAGAACGACCATATTTCTTGAAGCTGACAACGCTTGGCCTTATGATGTTTACGCTTCTTAGAAAGACTTTTCGCAAGCACCAGTTCATCCCTTTACACAAGAAATAGCGATCCAATTGACAGGAGTTTAATTATGCCCAACGCCGACGCCGTTGTATTGCCGGATAACGTCCGACCGGTTCACTACCAGATAACCCTGCAGCCCGATATGGAGAAATTCACCTTTGACGGGCTGGAGGTGATAGACATTGATGTCAAAGAGGCCACTTCGGAAATAGTCCTGAACGCCGCTGACTTGAAGATACCGGCGGCCACCCTGATGCAGGGTGGGCGCTCGGCCAGGGCCACATCGATTACCCTGGACAGCGACACTCAAACCGTTACGCTGGCCTTCGCCGAACCGGTTCAACCCGGGCTCGCCCAGTTGGACCTGCGCTTTACTGGGGAACTGAATGACCGGTTGCACGGCTTCTACCGGAGTCAGTATGTCAACCCGGAGGGCGAAGTAAGCTACCTGGCTACCACCCAATTTGAAGCCACCGACGCACGGCGCGCCTTCCCCTGCTGGGACGAGCCCGCCTGCAAAGCCACCTTTCAGTTGACTCTCAACATCCCGGCAAACATGGTGACAGTGTCCAACACGCCCATCATCCAACAAGCGGGCCTTGACGCAGGCTACAAGTCCGTGATGTTCGGACGCACTCCAATTATGTCCACCTACCTGATGGCGTTCATCGTAGGGGATCTGACCTATATCGAGCAGGAAGCGGTTAACAATACTACCGTTAGTGTTTGGACCACCCGCGGCAAGGAGGAACAGGGACGGTTCGCCCTAGAGACCTCGGCACGTATGCTTTCCTTCTTCAATGACTATTTCGGCATCCCCTACCCGCTGGAAAAGCTGGACCACATCGCAATCCCCGACTTCGCCGCGGGCGCCATGGAAAACTGGGGGTGCATAACCTACCGCGAAACCGCCCTGCTGGTGGACCCCGAGAATTCGTCGGCGGGAACCCGGCAGCGGGTAGCCGAGGTAGTGGCCCACGAAATGGCCCACATGTGGTTCGGTGACCTGGTGACCATGGAGTGGTGGGACGACCTCTGGCTGAACGAAAGCTTCGCCTCGTGGATGGGGACCAAGGCCACGGACTGGGCCTTCCCGGAATGGGAAATGTGGACCAGTTCGTCAACATGGACACCAACCGAGCCCTGAGCCTGGACGGCTTGAAGAACTCTCATCCCATCGAGCAGGAAGTGAAGGACCCGGCTGAGATTAGCCAACTGTTTGATGCCATCAGCTACAGTAAGGGCGCGTCGGTTATTCGCATGCTGGAGCAGTTCCTGACTCCTGAGGTATTCCGCCAGGGCCTGCACCACTATTTGGACGCTAACCAGTATTCCAACGCCCGCACCGAGCACCTCTGGGCAGCGTTGGAGGATGCCTCCAAGCTGCCCGTGACTGCCATAATGAACACCTGGACCGGCCAGATGGGTTATCCCGTCCTGCGGGTGGAGACCCACGAATCCGGCGACAACCTGGAACTGTCCCTGTCCCAGGAGCGCTTTGTTTATGACAACCTGCTGGGCGAGTCTGAGCCTGAGGGGCTGGTTTGGCAGGTCCCGGTGGGTGTAGCACAAAGCGGTAGCGGCGAGGGGGCATCCCTGGTCATGGATTCCCCACAGGCCCGGATTCAGATGCCCCGACCCTCGGGCGGTGATTCCTGGTTCAAGGTCAATCCTTCCCAGACGGGTTTCTTTCGCGTCAACTACTCTGAAGAGGACTGGCAACGCCTGATACCAGCCATCAGCGCCCTCACCCTGCCGGCCACGGACCGCCTGGGCATCCAGAACGACGCCTACGCCCTGTCCAAGGCAGGCCTGCTGCCAGTAACCCAGTTTCTGGACATTGCAGCCGCCTATAAGAACGAGACTGACGCATCGGTCTGGAGTGACCTGGCCAGCAACCTTCGGGACATTGACTTCCTGCTGGCCGATGAACCCTACAACGAGAACTTCCGCACTTTCGCCCGAGAACTGTTTGGCCCGGCCGCCCGACGGATTGGCTGGGACGCCCGAGAAGGAGAAGGCCACCTGGATGCCCTGCTACGGTCCACCGTCCTCGGCCAGGCCGGTGGCTACGGCGACCAGGAATTTCTAGCCCAGGCACAGGAGCGTTTCGCGGGCTACCTGAAGGATTCAAGCTCTCTGCATCCCGACGTCCGGGGCCTGGTCTTTAGTCTCGCTGCCCAAGGTGGCGACCAGCAGACTTATGACCAACTATGGGAACTGGAACGGCAAACCGATTTGCAAGAAGAGAAGATCCGGCTGCTGCTCTCCCTGGCCCGCTTCACGCAACCGGAACTGCTGCAGGAAACCCTGCGTCGCGCCTTGACCGACGACGTCCGTTCGCAGGACACGATAACCGTGATTACAGCGGTCGCAGGCAACCTGAAGGGGCGCCATCTCGCCTGGCAGTTCGTGCAGGACGAATGGGCTGAATTCGACCGCCGCTACGGCGCGGGCGGATTCGGGCTGATGCGGCTGGTCTCAGTCTGCGGAAACTTCGTGGAAGCTGAAAAGATCCCTGAGGTGGAAGCCTTCTTCGAGGAACACCCGGCACCTGCCGGCGAGCGCACCATCCGACAAGCTCTGGAGCGCGTCCGGCTAAACTCTCGCTGGCTGGAACTGAACCGATCAGTGTTGTCGGCACGATTTGGGTAGGACAGTTGGGCTCCAGCATTAGGAAGGACATTTTGGTCGCCGCCTCTATGGGGCGGCGACCAGTAGTTTAACCGCCAGATTGTCCAACCTCTCTCTCTGCGGAACACACGCTGCCCACCGCCGCGGAATCGCGTCGATCCCGTACCGCGCCCCTAGAAATCTGGCCGGAAAC